GAAATATGTAATAATAATAATAATCGCAACGCGAATATTAACAGATCAATAGATATAACTAACGAGAAAATATAAGTATTTATCGTTGTAATAATATAATCGATTATGTTAATAAATACAATGATTTTGTTTTTCAAGCTAAGATATATTACTTTACCTATTTCTTTAGGTAGATATCCATTCATCGGCCGAAAGTCGTATTTTTTTGTAAGCCTCCACTACAGAAGCAAGAAAAGTTCTTCTCATCGACGTTGGTGTGTATCGACGAGCAAGCGTTTAAATACCGTGGGCGGGCGGAGAGGGATGAGGGCTCGTTCCTTTAAAGCGAGGGTTAGTTTAAGGGCCGTTCGAGAATCGGTAGCCTCTCTGCCGATGTTTTATTTTATCCTCTCCGCTCCATAAGATCGCATTCTTTACGACCCATTAGACGAATTCATTACCGGCCCCAGGCAATAGAGTAGGTGAGGTTCGTAAGCCCTCTTTTCTTCCTCCTCCTGGCCCTCTTCCCTCTCTCTCTCTCTCTCCCTCTCCCTCTCTTACCATCTTCTTTACCTACCTCTTTCTCTTCCTCAGTAACCTCTCCTTCTCGTCTTTTAAGTTTCTCGACTTCTCGCGTTCAACGTTCCTCCATCTTTCCCCATGTAAATCCTATGTACACTCACTTATATACTAATATATACGAATATATACGCACATATACGCACTGAATCATCTTTTACGTCACGAATCGTCGAGTTTTACACTTTATTGTCTTATTGTCGTTAAAAATACCGAATTAGAAAAGAACGAGAGAGCTTCATAATTATTACGTGCTCACTCTACGAATGAACGAGATCAACTAACAATAAAACAAGTTCCATCAACGAATGTCGTACAAAGAACGAATTGTTTACATATACATAAGTACATACTGTTGTGAAGAAATAGTGAAGATCATTTGTTATAAATTGATTCCTGGATTTATTTCTCAGTTTTTTAACGTTGTCTTCATTATAGATATAAATATAAACATTGTACGCGTATGTACACGTATGTAATGGTTTAGACAGCTGGTAATGAATTGAAATAGACATTGGCACCGATAATTACACGTTTTGTACACTTTCTTTCAATAATCACGTTACTAATTTTCCATAATTGTTTTCAGAAATATAGACCGATGAAAATACCTTCCAATGCGTTTACCAGCTGATCTTAGATAACCATTACGTGCAAGACTAATCAACACCGTCAAAGAAGAAAGTTAAAGAGATACCGCGTTAGAAGAAATTTTTCCTCTCGCGATTTCTAGCATGTATATACAAGTACTTATTACATTTAAATTGGTTATCATTTATTTTCCCATTTTTGTCGTCTAACGATCGCATTGAGATGCGATAGAAATTTCTATAATTGAAAATATCCCCGTTTAATTTATATCGATAATTATATGTCTCTTATCTCGTAGCGAATCCATTCTGGGTTATCGAAATTTAGATTATACGTTATCTTTTATCTATTTTTTTTCTTCTCATCTCTTGGTCACGCTTGGTAATGTATAAGTTATGCGTAAAAAGAAAAGATAAAAGTAAATTCACAGTAAAAATTCGTGAAACCAGTCGTTAATGCAATTTGACAATTTCTATTAACTTGGTGTAAGAAATTTTGTAGCATAACAAAAGGGAGCATTAATGAATGCGACGTAGAATCGCGATGGGTCCTTTTTTTAATCAATTACATGTTACTGCCCGTGATTACGACGAGCGTCATGTATCAAGTGGAGAGGCCCACCTACCATCTAAATCAGTTGCAGGAGCCCTTAATAGCCCGAGCTCCGGAGAAGCGAGAGAGCCTTATCGAGGATTTACCGGCCGCTCGCTTAGATAGTACAAGATTTAAATTCTTTATCGTTACCGTTATCCATCCGTCTTCCCTCTTTTTCGGAGCTCACCGAGTGGATCCCCTCTCCATTTCCTCCCCTCCCTACACTCATTCCGTCTCTTTTCCTCCCTTTTTCGTTTCTCAAAAGCTTTTTCGTCTCCGTCTCCTTCTTCTTCTTCTCCTTCTTCGTCCTTCATAAATCCTTCTTACGTCTCCCTTCGTACCATAGCTACAAACTTTTACTCGAGAAAGGTCCTCCGCTATCAAAATCATCCAACGTCTGCCTACTTCTTTACTTAACATCCAAGTGGAATCCATTCTTTCTTGATTTTACAAAATAAAGAAAGATTTTCCCTTTTCCCATCTCCATCTAACGATTCGTTATAGATAAAAACATTTTAGTAATTATCTTCATTTTGTAGGATTTATTACAATGAAAAGATTAGCTAGGATCTGGTATTTGCGGCAATGAGGTCCACGAGTTCCTAACGTCATCTAATAATAATAATAGAAAACCGCAACACAAAGATGGAATTAACGCGTTGGGAAAGAACTTACCAAAGGGATGTTCCCTCGAATGCATTCTCGAATTTCGAATACGCGTAAAGTATTCTGACCGGATCCATCTCGGGTGGTTCTCTGGAAGAATTAAAAGAAAAATAAAGAGAGGAGGAGGAAGATGTGGAGGTTGTGATCGAGCTCGCTCGTAGAAGAGACCAACTCAGAGAGAAGGGGGAGCTTCTCGATGCTGTATCAATTCATTAGCGCATTACGGTTAAAATAAAAGTATTCGCGTATCTGCGGCATGCGGCGTATCTCTTATGAAGAGGAGGACGGAGTGCTCGACCGGTTTTCTGCGACTCCTCTCCGTTCCCCTAACCACCACCTCCTCCTCCTCCTCCTACCATTTCTTTACCTTCCTTCTCTAGCTCGTTCACCGGGTCGACCTTCATCGTGATTTGCTGGCTGGAGACCGGTGTCCAGCGACTCGAAGTCGTCATTATGCACCGAGAATGCTTGAAAAAGAAGAGAAACGCCGACGCGCGCGCGGACTCGACGCCGAGGGTAAATAAGAGAGGGAGAAAGAGAAAGAAAAAATAAATAAGAAAACAGGGACACCAACAAGGAAAGGTTCTTCTCGAAGGAAACCGACGGCCTTGAGGCAGATCTTATCTACACGTTGAACGTCTTCGGTTCCTGATAAGCAAAATTGTCCGCTCGTAATATGCTTTACAGAGTTGCCCTCCCCCTCCCCAACCCACCACACCCTCCTGTTTATCTAGTTTATCCGTTGCTCGTGTCTATTCCTTTAAAACGTGAACAACACCACCACCACCGTGCGCTCGCTCGCTCGCTCGTGCGCGCTTCTTAGGAGAAGATTTGGGAGAAGGGTTAGTGCTAGCTACGTAAGAAGGGTTGTATCTGTTTCTCATTGCGCGCGATGGCGTGCACACATTCGATGTGCTACTCTATGATACCGAATTAGCGATCCTACGAGACCCCGGCGAGCACAACTTCGAGCTTGTGTCTATTAAGTATTCCAACTGCTCGACGTCCTCGAACATAAATTCGTGTGCCGGCGTAGAACGTAGATAAGGCATATACGTATGTATGGGTGTTTCTGTATGCGTCGGACACGTACCAGCAGCATAGTGGAAACGTATACCGGTATTTCTAATTAATGCGAAAGCAAGTTAAAAGAAAGCGAGAAACGGATACGCCTTTAACGATCTAGTACATCGTTGCGGACATTACGCCGACTTTGTATTATGTATGTCTGCAATTTAATGGAAATACAAAATGGAGGAAGGATCCTATTTGCTTAGATTCCAATTGCTGTTATCACCCTTTAGAAATTCTTCATCGAATCTTCTTTTTCTTTTTCTTCTTCTACTCCTCGTCTGCTGCTGCTGCTGCTGCTGCTGTTGTTGCTGGAATCTATTTAAAGAAAGCGAATCTTCCGAGTGTACGTGTGATAAATAAGTAAACGTTCAACTCGAGTTATTGTTTTTTTTTTATAGTTTATAACATATATATTTATTTGAGCTTTAATTGCATTTTAAAATACAACCGAAATAATTAAATAATGACAAATCTGGTAAAATGGTTTCAAGAGTCGCGTATACATGATGCATAATCTTTGTGGTTGCTTGTATGTAAGTCGGTAGGTACGTTTCGAGCATATCTCTGTCGCACGGTATTACATTTTTTTTTTTTTAATCATTTCTTATTTTCTCCCTCCTCTCTATCTCTCTCTATTTTTTTTTGTGTTCCGTGTCTCTTTCTCTTTCTACCTAAACTTCATCCTCTTTGTATATATGTATTTACGTGTGTAATACGTGTGTAGGCGTTTGTTCTCTGACGAAGAGTATGTATATGTAAATGTACGTGTGTTTCTCTATGTATATTTTCGTGTGTATGCTCGCACCCACGTAGATTTCGTGTTCGTTCATCACACTTTCAGCAGTCGTATATAATTACAATAATAATATTAATATTATTATTATGTCGATAAATACTTTTTAAAGTCCGCGATGGAAGAAGTAGAGTTTACAAGAAATACGTATACAAGTGTGTTCCGTTCTTTACCGGCCCACCTCGCCGGTGGCCGTACGCAGCAGCTGCCTCTTCTGTCTCTTTCTCTCTTTACCTTTCTTTCCATTTCTCACTCATTCACTCTCTCTTTCTCTCTCTCTTTCGTTCTTTCACTCTCATGCATTCTTTCGACTATTTTTCCACGTTATATCCATCTTTCCCTTGTACTTGACTTTCTTTTCTCTCTTTCTTCCCTACTTTATCATATCATATAGCACACACCAAACACACATCCACGCACACGAACACATATACCCTACCTTTCTTTCTCTTTATTAGCTGCATTCATGCTCAATGCCCTAGTAACATTAGAATCACCACACGACACTTTCATCGTCTATCACCCTCTCCCATTTTTTTTTTCTCTTTATATTATAATAATCGTAATCGTTAATCAATATACACAATATTCGCAGTAATTCGAGTGACAATAATGACAATATTTTACACGTAAAATGACGCATCGGCTCGCTCGGCGCAATAAATATTATTTCAACAAAGAAAATTTACAATGGTCTCTCTCTCTCTCTCTCTCTCACCCTTTCTCTCACTCTCTCTCTCTCTCTCTCTCTCTCTACACGCCATCCTAAGCGCCGAGAAACATGGGTCCTCTTTCTTCAACCCCTTTACACTTTTTTTCTTTCTTTATCATTTTTTTTTTTAAACAAAACAATCGCACATTCGTCGGCTCGATTAAATTTTCGTCATTTTAATTAATCAAGAGCCCCGTTATTACTTACACATATTTTCATTTTCTTTTCCAACGCACAACATTTTCTCGGAATTCTCTCGCATACTTTCGTTTATTCACATGCATTCAACTATCTCACGATTTCTTTCGCTCTCTCTCTCTCTCTCTCTCTCTCTCTCTCTTTCTCTCTATCTTTCTTTCGAACTACTTGTTCGATTCATATACTTCCGATCGATTAGCAGTCATAGACCTTCGAAGAGGACTTTTTATTTTATTCATTTTCCATCCCCCGAGCGGTCTTATCGGTTCTCCAAATTTTTTTTCTTTTTTTTCGTGACAGTAAGTATCAACAAAGAAATTCCTATACAGGGGCGAACCCTAAACCTATCCTAAACGCTAATAAACTACGGTTCTTATATTCTAGAGGTATACATGCTGACGACCTTACGACAGGTGATAGGTAAGCTGTTCCATCAGTTTCTTTCTCTCTTTCTCTCTCTCTTTCGTTCTTAATTTCTCTTACTCTTATTCTTTCTCACTCTCTCTTTCTCTCTCTCTCTCTCTCTCCCTTTCTCATCTCTCGTCGTAAATGTCCTTAAGTATTTATAAAATCACAAACTTGGCCGCGTGCCGAGCCTCGTGACTCAGCAGTGCCGCGAGATATGGTGGCATCACAATTTAATTAACGCTCGTTCAACACCCACTTCATCGTCACACCCTCTAACATTCTCTAAGTAACAAAAAAATAACAGTAATTGACAGGAACGGATACAGTGTCGAGTTTCTCTTATTAGTTTCATTTTTTTTTCTTCTAAGTTTCCTTTCTTCAGAAAAAATGTTTTCGTAAGGATAAGTGAAATTTGAAAAAACAAAATTCAGAAAATTACGAGAGGATTCTGTTTTTTTAAACGTACGCCAGAACATCTTAGTGGTATCACTGTGTTATCATTTGGACATTAGAATTAAATGTTGAAATGATATTGCTAGTTATAAGTTGAATTGAAAATACGTAATTTTATGTATTAGAAATAACGTAGGTCATCGTCGTTGTCGTTGCAGTTGTCGTTGCAGTTATCTTTACGAATGCGTACCACTGAAATTTCTCGCGTGTTTCTTTTTTAGTTATTTTTTTATATTTGAAAGATAATTTATTATAAACGCAATGGAGAAGAAGTAATGCGTTTTGAAACGTGGAAGGGCTGGCTTCTTTGTATCACGAAAACGGAACTCGAAACACTCCACCACATTCCGTGCGGAGATTTTCTCGATGAAGGGCGGCGGCGCCGTGCACGATCCAACGAATCGTGCCGATAACCCACCCCCTAGGAATGACAAGATTTTTGTCCTCGATGATGGCCCAAAAATGATCGCCGATTAATTATAAAAGGTATCCACGTCGCCTTGTTTTAACTTTCCTCGAACGACGTACGAACGAAGCCTGCCCCGTTCTTGTGTCGTCGAAATGACATCGTTTGAATTTTCATTTCTATGATAAAAAAGCACCATATTGGTAGATCAACGGATTCGCGTACGATTACGAATTATTCGTGATTCGGACACGACGCTGAACATTTCTCAGTGTTCTTCTCTCTTTTTTCTTCACAAATCTTTAGCCGATAATCTATCGATCTTTGAACTTTGAAAAGCTATTTTGAATGATACCACGAAGGAAGAAGCTTTTACATAATTTATGTAATATCATCGAGTGATTGCAATGAATATGCAAAATTGTCGAAATCTTACGCGTCGATTAAAAACGAGCTACCGTGATAGGTCGCCGCCGCGTTCGATGCTCTTTGAACATAAAATTGAAAATAAAATAAGATGCCATTGGCGCAGGGCGTCCGCGCGGCGAAAATTCCAACCACATCGCTAGTTTTACAGTCGTTACAGTATAGATACACTTATGTACAAGTGGCACCGCTACTTACGGAGCTCGGACTATACGTACTTGCTGGACAACTGTTTGGCCAGCTCCGTATACTTGAGAAACTTAGAGTGTGGGCTCTCCTCGAGCGGAGATGCCGCTGACTGGGATGGGCTGCCGTTCGCTTGCGGAAGAGGCGGCGACTTGTTGCGTTGGGACGACGTGGGTGGAGACGAAGAGCTGTGACCACTGGGGCCACCACCGGAAGTCGCCTGCGAGGCCGCTGCGGCTGCGGCCGCCGCCGCCGCAGCTGCCGATCTTCCGATCGTCAATGGATCTGGGATGACGCCATCTTTCACGAAGTGCATCTTCGAGAGATGATGCCTGTATGCTCCTTTGGAAATGAACGGTGTGTCGCAGAAGGCGCACTTCATGATCGAGTCTGCCGTGACTACGGCGTCGTTACAGGCCCAACTGAAGGCTAAAATGGCTCCAGGAGTTGGTCCGGCGCCTGGTCCGCCAGAGCCTACCGCACTACCGCTTCCAGGAGCGATCGAACTACCGGAACCAGAAGTGGACCTGGACGCGCCGCTTCCACTGGGGCCCCGCGTTTCGGTTTTGTCACAGAGTTTTTGTAAAGCTGCCAGCGGATGACTGCTCGTTTTTCGTCCTTGCGAATCCACCGTGTTACCGGTGCCTCCTCCACCTCCACCGGATAGGCTATCGAACATAGAAGAGAGGGCACCGAGGCTACTGGATGCTTTCGTATCTGGTGTTCCTCTCGGGGTGACCGATCTATCACTGCTGGTAGGACTGCTCGTGCTGTTTCTGCAAGGACTGCGAGCCACTTGTTCGACTTGGCTCGTCGATCTCGGAGTAGGTGGATTCATTCGGGGCGACTGAACTTCTCTACCTTCTTCTGCAGTCTCGTGAAGGCTGCTTCGTCGGTGATTATACGAGGCTTGTTGTTCCTCCTCCTCTCGACAATCGTCAACCACTTCTTTCTTAACGAACACCTCTCTCGACGATTGCGCTTGTTGTTCTTCCTCGTTCGTTCCTCTTTCGTCCGTTTCTTCGTCCCTCGGTTCCTTCTTAACCACCACCGAGGTAGACTCCTCGTCTCCGGATTCTTCCGCGGTCAAATGATGACGCGCTGATAATGGCGTCGGAGCTTGTTTATCCGGAGTGACGCGATGGTGATGAGAATGAGCGCTGGAATGCCTCTCGTGGCCAACCGTGGAAAGATCCATACGTCTTTCCGGTGTCATCGTATCCGTCCGACCGCTTCCTCTCTCCGAAATGGAACTGGATTCGCTTCCGCTCCGTTCTCTCCTCGCAGCAGCGCTCGCATTGTAATGCTGTTGTTGTTGCTGCTGATAAGATCGAAGAAGATTCATCGTTTGCGGATCAACCAAGGGCTTCGTGTAATCCACGCTTTCGTCTATTCCTAATCTTTTAAGAATGCTAGTTCCCATGGGTGCACCTGGCTGAGCGTGATGCAACCCTGCCGTTCCATGTCTCACTCGAGAATCGAAACTCTTTTCGATCAACTTTTCGATGGCGTTTAAAACGGAGGGCGAGGACGTGCCGCCGGTGGTTTCGTTCGCGGTTGGCGTCGGAGTGTCCTTACCTGGGGTGGTAGCGTCGCTAGCCGAGGAAGGTGATCGGTGGTGCCTCGACGATACCGAAGAAGCATCCTCGTTCACGCTTTTACGGCCACTTTCGCTCGGTGGCAAAGTTGCTGGCAAGTGATTAGACGACATGAGTGCAGTTTTTAAGAAATTTCGGTTGTTAACACCGACCGTTCCGGCTCCTATGCACTGACGTATGTGCTCAACGAAGATGGTAGTCTCGATTTTCTCGCCGCATTTCTCACAGGTAATTCTACCTGCGTGTTTTCCAAGACTGTGGCTTAGGCCGGTCCCAGCGTCGCCATTTTTAAACTCGTTTTGCGCCCGTTCCAATTCCAATAACTTTCTCACCGGCAATGATTTTTTTCTCTTCTCGCGCGTTTGTCTCCGACGACCACCGCTCTCGGTAATCGAACGCATAATGTGCTCTTTGTAATGAGAGTTCTTGACCATATGATTACTCAATTCTTTCAAAGAACTAAAGGCCTGATCGCATACTTTGCAAGTTAATACGGCGCTGACATGACTGCTGGCAGCTCCAGCACCGGGACCACCACCGGTGTTACCTCCGTGGGGACCGCCACCGCCACCGGTTCCGGCACCAGGCGGTACTCCACCCGTATTTCCTCCGCTTCCAACTCCACCTCCGCTACTACCGCTGCCACCTCCCCCGCCTTTGCTCTCGTCGGAAGATTTCCAAGAAATAATTTGCTCTTGCGAAATGATGTTGGTATAATGTTGCGTTTGTTGCATGTGCGAGGTCATTTCTGCGAGGGAACGGAAGCTCTGACCGCACCACATACATTTGAGGATTTGCCTGGTTTGTTCGGCACCTTTCCCAAGCCAAACGTCTTGACCTCTGACCAGCTTTCTAGGCAACGGCATAGTTTCCTTAATGAGAAGGTTCAACTCGGATGGACTTTGCTTGTTAGTTGGGGCAGCGGAGTTGTTGCTACCGGCGGCGTTGCTGGTCGAAGTTTGCGGCTGGTGCGATTGTTGCGGCGGCGGTATCGTCGGCATCGTCGTTTGTTGGGGATGCAAGGCTGCAGCTGCCGGTGGTACGGGCATATTAACGCCGCAATGCTTCGCTTCCTTCATGTGTGTCGTCATAGCGGCGAGCGTTGGGAAGCTTTGTTTGCACCATACGCATTTAAGAACATCTTTGGCTTGATCCGCTCCTTTGTTCAGCCAATGAGATTGCCAAGCACTGTGACGACTACTCGACGTTGTGGACGGCGTGCTGCCTACGGAAGTGCCCCCGCTACTGCCGCTGCACGAAGACGGCCTGAAAAGATCTTCGCCACCTAATTTGCTCAACTCGCTCATTTTTTCCAAAGCCTTGGTCGCTTCGCTGGGTTGATAGGACTTTTCGAGGGCTGCCGGAGGCTTCATTTTTCCGTTCCAAAGTTGATGGTGATCAACAACACCGCCAGTACTTTTCGGAGACAATTGTTGCTGACTAGTAGCCGCTGCTGCCACAGCTGCAGCAAAGTATGGAAAGTGCGAGGCCACGACCGGCGATGTCCACGGTGAAACTACCGGTGGCCTACCAAACGTGGACGGGGAGCTGGTTGCCGTTACGTCTTGATGACCAGTCGAGGCCGCACTGGCCAATCTCGAGGATTTACGGGGAGGTGGAGGGGAGGAATCTTCAGGGCCTGGTCGTTTTCTACTAGGCACCGACAAATCCAACGGACCGTTGTTAGTTTCTGTCGAAGAGGATGGCGTTGGCGGCTTGCTCAGGTTCAGAATATGTTCTTCCTCCTCTTCCTCCGTCGAGGAAGCTTTTCTCGTGCTGAAGTCTAGAACGGCTGGCAATGGGGTTGCCGAGGGTGAAACCTCCCCGATGCTGCTCGGCGAGACCATGAGACCCGGCGTCGCTGCTGGTGGCGAACAAGAGGACGATACCAATGGCGATACAGAGCCTCGCGACAAAGGCGAATGTCCGAGGAGGAGCCGTTGATGTGTTTGCTGAAGATACGCCGCCATCATTGCCGCCGAATGCGGTGGCAGAAGAGGATGAGTCCCAAGGGGTAGAGGCACGATACTACTCGGACTAACTGGACTCGCGCTGCTCCTCGTTGCTAAAGGTGGGGGACTTCCGGTCGCTGGACCGGAGGATTCCCGAGAATCTCTCGAGGGACAGCGTGGACTCATTTGTTCCCTGAAAGAGTAACAGAGAAAGGGCTATTGAAAAAGAATGACTTTTGAGATATTCTCTTTTACTAGTCTGTCGTATTCGTTCGAGTGATCGCCGATTTCCTGAGATTTTGACGATTCACCTGCTTCTTAATCTCTCTTTTTCTCCGAATGTTTATTATCTTTTTCTTCCATCATTAGCGACTTTCCCCGCCTCTCTGACCGATCTCTGCAAAGCGCGTTCGATGCCACGAATCGTTCGTACCGGAACTCTCGACCGGACAGGCATCATTAATCATGATAACCGAGCGATAAATTTCTTGTAACTGATCCGCGAATACCGGCACAACGCAGGTGACGCCGTGACGTTAATATTTCATAACCGGCCGCCATGAGAATTACTACGTAAACAGCTTTCGCTGTTGCTGCACGATGGAAACGACGAATACCCGGAATCGGTGATGAATATAAGCAGAAAAAAAAAATTCTCTCGTGATAGATAGAGCCTCTCTTGACGCTGGCATGTTTTGCGACGCAAACAGCGATGGATAATTCACGCTTGAAAACGCCTGTCGTTCTTAACTCCTCGTATCTACGAGGATATGAATGCGAATAAAAATACTGTAGTGCAACGGGAAAGAGACGATTCGTAAATGCCAGCCTTACCATCGCGCGTCGGTTCGTTGAACGCGTAAAATGTGACCCGGTATATGACATATGATACTGTATTCATTGTTTTCAAAAATACAAATCACATCTAAACGACGGAACTGTCTCCCCAATAAAGTCTATTAACATTTATCGCGAATGTATACGACGCACGGTCGACGTGAGAAACGCGTGATCGAATAATTCTCAAACACCATAGAGGACAAGAAAATATTAGATACCTTGCGGAACGTCATCCACGCATAGGAGAAGGATCTATCTGAAGAAGTAAGCACGTGGTCGTAAGCGCGGGCGCGGGTGCGCTCTCGTGTCCTCTCTCTCTCTCTCTTTTTCACACTTGACGACGAGGTGTTCTCGACGCGAACGAAAGGGACACAGTAGAGCTGTCGACGGCTCGCTCGTAACTGACTCCTCCTGACTGAATGCCGAATGCGTGCCGCGAGATGAAAGGGGACCACCGCCACGCATGCAGGGGAAGTTTTTGGGGGCTGGCGGCTCGAGGGGAGGGGACATCACCTCCGGCCTTCGCCACGGCGTCCCTAGTTTAGCGAGCGAGGCTAGAGGTGGAGGTGGAGGTGGAGGTGGTGGATGTGGAGGTGGAGGAGGCGTTAGCGGAGCAGTGGGTGCCTCTAACGGGTGCCGCTAGCAGCAGGCTCCTCTCGCGTTGTGTGTGTGTGTGTTGCAGGGCGGCGGTGGCGGCGGCGGCGTAGGACTCTCTTCGGAACACGTGCCTATCTCTATTAGCCGTGCGACGTTGCGCGGCAGCCACCGATATCAGCTCTGACACCAGCTTATTTATCCCTCTGCCTCCGTCCTACTCTTCTATTCCCCTCCCCCCTTCTCACTACACTCACTCTCTCTCTCTCTCTCTCTCTCTCACACACTTAACCTGCCGCCGCTCTCTCTGACGATTTGTTACGTTCAAACAAGGAACAGAGCGTAAAACACACTCATTCACGTACGTGAGCACACAGAAAAGGGACCCAACGACGGCAACATCAAAGTGCAAAAGCACCGTACGGCTTCCCCGATGATTTAGGTGCTTTATTATCAAGTCTACGGATAAAGCACCGACTAATGAGTTTGAAACGCCACGATGTTGATCGTCCTCTTTCTCTCTCCCTCGCTCTCACTCTGTGCCGCATCTAGTTATACGTACCATCATCTAAGTGTGGCTTTGTTGCGCGATTCCGTTTTAAAGACTTCATTTTATAACTACGCCTGACTATTTTCTTAATTAGCTACTATTCTAAAAGACCAACATTGATGTTTGATAAGCCCTGTTCGAGACGTTCATATTTGTACTAAAACACGACTACATACACTTGAATCAAAAAAAAGGTTTCAGTCCTCGCGTGATCAAGACTCTCCAGAGAGTCCATCGTATCCCACGAGTGTCATTTTTGCCTGATAAAATGGTAACGTTGTTTCTTCGATTCAATAACGTTAGCGAGAGCGATAAAAATTGATAATACCCAAGTACATCATTCCGAGAAAGTATTAATGTGTATGATGGATTGGGGAGTAAAACTTGTTCCATTTAAATTACGCGATTTTTTTTTTAACCATTATCCGATGCTTCAGAGAAAGTATTTTACTTTTAACTTAATTATTCTGAGAAATAATTTCCTACGTAAGAATAATTATCTTAAATTTGTGCAGCCTGTACAATTTGTAAAATGCGAATAAACATGTTTTACCTCTCTACCCTTTATTTTAATTACTTATCTTTGATAGAAATTGATACTAAAACATTATTGACGCGTCAAATGATATAATACCTATCAGGTGGTCCAGTATCCCTCAAAATAGTAGGATTCAATCTCGCGGAAACGGAAGTTGATGGTGGCGTGGCTGGTGATGCTTCCTCGTCATCTTCCTCGTCGCTGGCCTCGCCATCGTCATCTTCTTTGGCTGCAGGTGCACAACCTCTTTCACTAGGGCTGACGGGGCCATCCTCGTCGACGCAATCGCCCTCTTCGCCCTGGAGGTCCGTGCCGGGCCCTGAGCCTTCGACGCCGTCCTCCCCTACGATCAAAATCAAATTCACTCATTTATTTTTGTTATTGCTATTCAAACGATGTGAAACATATTTTTATTTTATTAATTATTCTACCAAAATCACACGAATTGGCTACTCAGTCTAATATTAACTATTTATTAGCTGTAGTAAATATGTAAATCCTAGTACTTGTCACTACAACACATTGCACTTTGAACCCGATCATAATCGTAACTACGATAAATTGTTAACTTTTATTAAAACTTCCCCATTTTAGTAGTTCTTGTCACAGTTAAAACCTTTCGTTTAAAGTAACGTATAGTGACGTAACGGAAAGATTATAGAAAATGTGAGAACTAGTATTTCGAATCGACGAAAAGAAAGTGTATCTTTTTTTTAAAATCAATTAGCTCTTAGGATTGGCAGAGAAATCGTTAGAGGTTTTGATAATTTATAGAATATATATCTGGAGGCTGAAATCTTCGATATCGCGATTCCATCGACTGCAACCATCCGTGACAGAAAGGCCGTTGGAAACAGTGAAGTAGGACTTTCTATCATCTAAAGCATCGGGCACGAGGTGATTAAGTACGATAGAAGGAGAAAGGAGGAGGTGGCGGGGCAGGGGGGAGGGAGCAGAGAGCATGCGACCCGGTAGAGAGAAGACGCTCAGAAATGACGGAGCTAAGTACCCAGGAGTGATATAAAGGTGCAGATGGCGAGTAACACAATGGCACTATCGGTTCATTTATCAGCCTTTCGCGACGGCGCCGCTGCCAACGACGACTACGACTACGACGACGACGACGACGACGACGACGACAGCGATGGCGTCGTCGACATCTACCGTACTCTACGATGAGAACGTTGGATACGTTCTCGACGATGACACTGTGCCATTGTGAATCGGTAAAGAGTAAGAAAGAGATAGAGAGAGAGAGAGAGAGAACTTCCGTCATTTGCATTATGAGTTTTAATCAAATCATTTCCTTTTACAACAGAATCGACGAATCTACACAAAGAGAGAGAGAGAAAGTCCAACTGGTACGATTCATTGTCCTGCTTCTTTAACGATATTAATCGTGATTTAGCATTCGATTCGTTGGATAACGAAAGACTGTCAAAGGGTAGACGTTTTCCATGAGCCTACATTCAAAATGGAGGAAACAGTAGTATGGTATCAACGGCAGCGGAGCATCGAACTCGAGACGAACGATCGGAGTATTGAAACTCTCTTTCTCTCTTTTTATCGGAGGAACCCTCGGAACCGACCGCCATCTTGAGAACGACGTGTCCACCTCCAGGAAGGGAGTGTCGTCGGTGGCGATCTCTTCTGGTACTCGTACGAGAGCGTAAGAGAAGAGGATGAGTTAAGAGAGAGAGAATGTTACGGGGGAGAGACGTACGGAAGGAAGATAGTCAGCAAGGTAGCACACCTCCCTGATGCTGAGAGGGGGTGGGGACAAACCAGGAGCACCGTCCTACTTTGCCGATTGACCAACCAAACGATCGTTTGTTCGCGGATGGGCCACGGAAGAGGGAGAAGAAAGGAGATCGCACATTGATCCGTAGGAGCATCGGCAACTAATTACGCAGATTTATGTCCCCATTGTCCATTGTCTCTCTCCCAGAGAGCGGCCCTTCGAGAACCCAGCAAGACCGAGGGCGACTCTTGCTCAGGGAACCAGCGCACGGTTCGAGATCCTACTCGTGAGAGTGAGAGAAACGAATATAGGGGTATGGAAAAAAGAGAGAGAGAGAGAGAGAGAGAGAGAGAGAGAGAGAGAGAGAAAGAGAGAGGGAGACAAGCACGACGACAACGACGACGCCGAGGACGACGAGGACAACGAGGACAACGACGACGACGACGACGACGAAGAAGACGAGGACGACGACGAGAAGAGATAAAAGGAGGACCCTGAGGATTCAAGCTTGTTGCTGGCTGGTAGGGGAATGCAAGAAGTTGCAAGAGGGTATGAGAGAGGGAGAGAGAGAAAACGAGCGGGCGGGCGGACCACCGGCAAGCAGCCCCGCCCGCTTCGAATATCGTCTCTTCTTTTACCCTCTCGACTTGGTTCGTTTGTACTCTCGTCTACTACCTTTCTTCCTTCCTCTCTTCTTCTCACTTCTTCCTCCGTCCCCTTCTCTATTTCCTCCTTATTCCTGCTTAGATCATTTTCCAGCTGTTTGGACAGTCTTAGTGTCATCTTTACCGTTTCTCTCTGAAATGGTAAACGTTCGTATAGTTATTTCCCATAGAGATTTCAACGAAAGCATCTTCTCTCTATTTCCTTTTAGTAACAATGCGTCATTTAAATATTCTCTTATTGAGTATGCGAAAAAAATTGACGAATCTTTTATCTATCTAATTTATGGATGATGTCAATGAATTGTTCCTTAAGAAACGAGGGGAACCTTAAGGTTGCACTTATACTTCAATGATCGCCCCATGTTATTCAGTTATGGTCAAGGTCACGGCAGATACCGAGAAGAGGATGCAAATGCAGCTAGCACGAAGAAACATCGTGCGGGTCCTATTGGCAGGACGCTAACAAGGTGCACGGGGAGTTGGTTGGTTGGTTGGTTGGTTGGTTGGTTGGTTGGTTGGTCGGTTGGTTGGTTGCATGGTGCAAGGTAAGATACGACGGGAACGTGGCGTACCGAGTTTTAAAGCGGCCCGAGCCTTGACACTCGACGAGATGTTGCCGTACGATATCCGTTCCTCCTGTCCTCGTAGCTATTTCAGCTGCTGGTATCATGCAACTAACTAGTACTTACATTTGTACCTACCTATGAAGCTTTAAACCTGTTTTCTTTATTTTTCTAATAATATCCTTTAATCTCAGAATTAATTCATTTACAAGAGTATAATAAATACGGAACAATAATTAATCTTAACAGTCAATTCTTTAATTTCTATTATTTTCCACTTTTCAAGTTATTCATTTCTCATAGAGTCACAAAATCTTTCCTAAATGCCTTTCCCCTAATCCATCTCCTTTTAGTTTAACTATTCCTCTCGTAGTCCTTTTCTTTGTCCATCTCCCGATGGAACATGTGCTACGAACTCGAGACACAGATAACTGAATAAGTATATACCTACATAGGTGTGCAACACATGTTGCTATGTGAAACTGGTTAACTGCTTACCCGCTTGAGTATCCGTGGTGTTCGCGATACCGCGATCTAACTCTCTTGGCCGCGAGTTCTCCAGAACCGACGATAGTCACGCTCACGACTCATGGGGACCAGACCGTTCCTTGCTAATTGCCAGTAACCCTGTTCATAGCATCAACCTTTTCCTTCCACTCGAAACGCGATGGACACTCTAAAGTTTCTCTTTTAAAACGTGACGTGTTTCGATCTACTTCCAAATATTTCTTTTCTATTCAAAGTACTTCCTATTTGGTTGGTTTCTATTTAAAAAAAAAGATTTAAAATGATAGTGTTGCTTGCACAAGACCTGGTAAGGAACTAAAGTATGACTACTTGAAGTTACACTAGGCACGTGTTCAAGTGATAAAAAGAAATTAAAAAAAAAATTAAAAGAAGGCAGAGATTAGAAAAAGTACCGTTTTTTATGCTTCATAATAAGTCCACACAAATGCGTGACTTAAATCACATAAATGATAAAGTACACAATAATGTTAGTGAATATTATCTACCGATCGTATAATGATAAGATCTCCGAAATTATCGAAGTGATGTTATAAAACAAAACACTTATTAGATTTCAGCATGGTTCCAAAATATTCGCTAGGTTTCCCGAGATATTAAAAAGATTTGAAAAATGTACAGAGTCGATGTGCTCGACAAGTGAATTCCTCAGGATGCATCCTGCTTAGCGTATACGTAAATCACAGGGATGACCAAGAAGTATACATTAACGTGTTTAAAAGCTCGCAGTAGTGAGCACGAAGCACGACGCCTTGATTTATATGACCTTCGAAAGTGCTAAATCAGTTTCATTTAACGGTAATTAGACTCACTAGCGTAGTCATACTTTTGCACTCGCAAAAATTTACGACATTGCCAAGAGGAGAGTAATGTTTAGTTATTTGCGAGACACCTTATCGAAAGAAAGGGGATTATTTAAGCGATAAACTTGTTGAAAGATAAATCAGCTTCTTTAAAAAAAAAAAAACCAACCAAACGCACGCTTATTTCTGCAAAGATCGTTCAGTACATTTCGATATCAAGCAAAATTATGGGATCGCAGAAGAAAATAAGTATATACGTAAAATAATATCACCATTTCGTCCATTCGAATAATCTTGATACCAAATCTCTAGGATATTCTATTACGAAAAGAAAATGAAGTTATTTGTTTTTCGTCTCTGTGAGCAAGAAGCCCGCCAGCCAACCAACAAACCAACCAACCAACCAACCGATTTGCGAATGGAGGGGTATAAAAGAATTTAATTTTCCCTTCCATAATAGCTACTCAGAGATTAACTCGGGAAAGTCCTGGTTTGATTTCGTCGAATCTTTGTAAGCATCATCGTTCCTTCGTTATGTCATTCTCACGTCTTTTTCTAGCGATTGTGTCAAAGACACTCGTTCTGAGATATCAAGTGAAATACTACTTCGTTTGATAAAAGGGAAAGAAAGAAAGATAAAGAATAATAGAAAGAAAGGGAAAAGGAAGAAATATAACGGAGAATCATCGTAATAAGAGATATCTTACGTCGTAGAAATGAAATTTGTGCGAATAAACGAATCGAAGTTAGATAGCTTAGAAGCTTGCAATAAAACAATACATAATAAGCCGGCGGCGTTGGAGCAACGGCAGCGGCAGCGGCAGCAGCAGCAGCAGCAACAGGAACGGTTCTGCAGCCGCGGCCGCGGCAGAGATGGAACAAAAGGAGACTGGAGGAGGACAGGAGAGGAGATGAATTTCTGATGCGAGAACCGTCGGGAGGCTGGCGAGGAGAGTGACAGGAGGCAGACGAAGAGACGAACGGATGGACAGGCAGGCAGGCAGGCAGGCAGACAGACGGACGGACGGACGGGCGGACGGACAGGC